AGTTCTAATCTACAAAAATTATTCCCCAGAAAATTTTTACATATTTTTACGAGCAGACAACCTCTCAATATAAGTAGTGCCTATGTCTGAAGGCACTTACAGACATACTGTTTTTGTAGTCATTACTCCTTAACTAACCTAATCCAGTTTCCTGCTTTACTGAATTCTACTTAACTAAGAAATAAAGTTTCAACTGATGACATTGACTTATCGTTAACAAAAGATGATTATGGCTTACAAATCAAGCATAAAGAGGTATCAATTTTGGATTTTCATTCAAGAAAAATATTCTTCTGTAGCTAGTAAAGCACTGAATATTTTATTGCCATTTTCCATGTCATACCTCTGTGAATTAGGATTTTCTGCATTTACCAACATTAAATGTAAAAACAGATCAAAGATTAAATGCATTGATGAGGAAATGAGAATATGTTCATAAGATATTAACATTTAAAGTTAGGAACTTATAAAGTGAATTTCAAAGACAATATTCACATGACTTATACATGGATTTCTTCAACCATGTATGTGCCATTTTGTTCCACGATCTTTCACCATCTTTGAGGTAGCTTCATGATTCCATCCTTCCAGAACTTGGCACCACTCTGGGGCAGCATTTCTCAAACAGTATGCCCTGAATATTACCTATGTGCACCCCACGTAAAGAGAATAGTAAATGTTTATTTTAATAAGCTAGAGACACCAAGCACATGGCTTCCATATCAAAATCAATTGGCGTTTCAACTGATGACATTGGCTTATTGTTAACGGGAGAAGATGAGCTGGTCACCATCTCTGCTGATCATGGCTTACAAATCAAGCATAAAGAGGTGTCCATTGATCAATTTGGGATTTCCATTCAAGAATAATATTCTTCAATAGCTTGTAAAGCATTGAATATTTTATTGCCATTTTCCACGTCATACTTTTGTGAATTAGGATTTTCTGCATTTACCAATATTAAATACAAAAATAGATAAAAGATTAAATGCATTGATGAAGAAATGAGACTATATTTATCACAAACAAGGCCAAACATTCAAAAAATGTTTATCACATATAGATTTATAATAAATGTTTATCTATGGGTGTGGATTGTTCTCATTCCGCTGCTCATGTCTAAATTAAATAAAGGTCTCTGTTCCGTATTTCCTGCGGGTTACTCAGATTTATATACACCTGAGGAAGGCCAGAGGGCACAACAGTCGAAATGTCATGATGACAACAGCAACAAAGAGTCTGAATACAAGTAGTTTAAATGTTTAAATAATGTTTATAATGATAATATTTTTTAAATAATAAAATAGTGTAAATAATGTAATTCAGGCCAAAAAAATTAATTTCTCCTCATTAAAATTTTAAGTGTGTCCCAAAGTTTTAGTCATTCTATAAGTGCCCCCAGAGGTAAAAAAAGGGAGGGGGTGAGAAACTCTGGTCTAATAATTTAAAATTGACATCCCTGAACAGGATGAACAGGAAATGGAAATAGTACCTGTTTATTTTATGCCCTGAAATTTGATTGTGGCTTACAAATCAAGCTTAAAGAAGTGTCCATTGATCAATTTGGGATTTCCATTCAAGAATAATATTCTTCAATAGCTTGTAAAGCATTGAATATTTTATTGCCATTTTCCATGTCATACCTCTGTGAATTAGGATTTTCTGCAGTTATCAACATTAAATACAAAAACAGATCAATGATTAAATGCATTGATGAGGAAAAGAGAATATGTTCATAACATTAACATTTAAATTTTGAAGCTTATAAAGTGAATTTCAAAGACAATATTCACATGACTGTACATGGATTTCTTCAACCACGTATGTGCCATTTTGTTCCACGATCTTTCACCATCTTTGAGGTAGCTTTATGATTCCATCCTTCCAGAACTTGGCACCACTCTGGGACAGCATTTCTCAAACAGTATGCCCTGAATATTACCTATGTGCACCCCACGTAAAGAGAATAGTAAATGTTTATTTTAATAAGCTGGAGACACCAAGCACATGACTTCCATATCAAAATCAATTGACGTTTCAACTGATGACATTGGCTTATTGTTAACAGAAGATGAGCTGGTCACCATCTCTGCTGATCGTGGCTTACAAATCAAGCATAAAGAGGTGTCCATTGATCAATTTGGGATTTCCATTCAAGAATAATATTTTTCAATAGCTTGTAAAGCATTGAATATTTTATTGCCATTTTCCACATCATACCTCTGTGAATTAGGATTTTCTGCACTTATTAACATTAAATGCAAAAATAGATTAAAGATTAAATGCATTGATGAAGAAATGAAAGTATGTTTATAACATATTAACATTTAAAAACTTGCCAAAGCATAGCAAGCACTGGTTTCATATAAGCATACTTAAATATACAATGTAATGTCTTAAAAATAAATGCTTATTTCAGGAGATTAGGTGGATTAACGAATAGCAGCTGGGATTAAGGAATCGGAGAGCCAAGTTTGAATTCCAGTTGAATCCATTACATTCACTTATGTGCTAATATCCTTGGGAAAGGTATGAATCCTCTTCTTCTCCCCCCAGTTATGGGTAAATAGCAGGACAGACCAGGTTCTATAGCCTTGGATGGCAACTGGTCTACCATAGAAAGAAATGGCAACCTACTGCTGGAAAAAAATCTGCCTTGTCAGTCATGTATCGAAAGATACATGATCACCTAAGCGTGTATCACACATGGCACATAACTGACTATTTCAGGAGACTTCTTTATTATTTCCCTTATTTTCAAATTTCATGACTAATTTTTTTTTAATAAAATTTAAAGTGTGTCCCAGGGTTTTACTTATTCTATAAGTGTGTCCTGAAGTAAAACAAATGGTTGAGAAACACTACTGTAGAATGATCCAGAGAATAACATGGACAGGACATGTGAGTAATGAGATAGTTTTAAAGAAACTGAAAACAAAAAGGGATACTTATACTTCTAATCAGAAAGAGACAATTGAAATTCTATCATTGAAGATTAGACTCCAAACTGGCACCAGTCACAATGAACGGATGAGCCCCCAGAAAGGTTCCATGTCTTGAAAGACTATTTGGCCTTAAACTCATACCTGACCTCAAGTGGAACTCATACATATAATCCATTGCTAAAGATGTACGAAAAATGGTTGACTCCCTGTACCGCTCCAGTAAGTACCTGACTCCTCATGCTATCCTCTACCTTTGCAAGAGCCAGATCAGGCCAAAAATGGAGTACTGTTGTCATATTTGGGCAGGAGCTGTCCAGTCTTCACTTTCTGGTCTCAATTTCAAAAGTCCCTCCGAGTCCTTGTGGGTGACAAATTATTGTCCACCCTCCAACCACTCTCTCACAAGCAGTGTGTGGCAAGACTCTTACTACTCTATCGCTACTTCCATGGAAAGTGTTTTGACATATGTCTCCTAAAAGATGCACTATCCCTTGAGAGACTATTGGGCCTTAAACTCACATCTGACCTCAAGTGGATCTTGTACATACGATCGATCGCTAAAGGTACCGATAAAATGGTCGGCTCCCTGTACCACTCCAGTAAGTAGCTGACTCCTTGTGCTATCCTCTACCTTTACAAGAGCCAGATCAGGCCAAAAATGGAGTACCGTTGTCATATTTGGGCAGGAGCTGTCTAGTCTTCACTTTCTGGTCTCAATTTCAAAAGTCCCTCCGTGTCCTTGTGGGTGATAAATTATTGTCCACCCTCCAACCACTCTCTCACAAGCAGTGTGTGGCAAGACTCTTACTGCTCTATTGCTACTTCCATGGAAAGTTCTTGGACAAACTACATTCCTTGGTTCCACCAGTTCTAACCTTCATGGCTAGGACCTGCCATGTAACCCACATTGCAGCACACCACCCACATTCCCTCCATATTTCATCGGTGAGGAGTAAGTTCCACTCAAACATCTTCCTGTGAACCACTACTCTGTGAAACAGACTTCCAATCTTAACCTGTTCAAGTCTAGGGTTAGTAGCATGCAGAAGAGGGACAGAGGGTGCAGCAGTCCCAGGCATCCATATTGAGAGTGCATCCAGTCAAAGTGTGTGTGGAGAATTACTTTGAAGGTCTAAGTGGGGGCTAGAGTAGCGTAGCCTATATGCACGAGCAAATTGCTAGCGAGGTAGACTCTCCAAGCACCACTAGAATGATGAGGCACATGTGTCATTGAGTCAGATCGAGGCTGGCAGTGTGCCCAATATGCAAATTCTCTGGCTCAGCAAGAACGTATAAAAAAAGGTGAGTTCTTGTTGAGTCGGCAGAAAGAATCTTGTGCATTCAGTGTAATACATGGCCTTGCGTATTAAACCAGAATTCATTGTGAAGCTATTTCCAGTGTCTATGCTACTGAATCCCAGCTTTCCTGCGACAGAGTGAAATAAAATTTTAGGTTATATTTTATTTGAATAAAGTGTTTCATCTGTTTTTCCATATTTAAAATGTCTTCCTTTCTTAAATTTCTCAGTACAAGGCCTCCTCACCCCTCCTTGAGTCTTAGGGGCATACAGTCAAGGGATTGGCCCCAGGCATCACCAAATCTCTGCACATCACTGTCTAGGGTTAACCTTTATCTTCCCCTCCTATCCATATAAACTGCCTCTTAATGTAACCCTCAACCTTGAGTGGTTCCCAGGCCTTGTACAGGGTGAAGCTTACTGTAAAAAAAAAAAAAATTCTAAGACACAAAATGAAGAAAAATGACTTGGAAAATTTTACACTGAGAGAATGAAAGTAAATGACAGGGGACAAAACTCTTGTTGACTTGAAAAAGTGCTTATTTGCATGTAGTTGAGAAACTGTAGCCATATTAGTCAGTGAAATCCAAAGGACAATTTTTACAGATTTGGTAAAAAGGCTGGGTGAAGGTAATGAGGGTGAGTTTGATTGTTACATTCTTGAACCAAGACTACAGTTCTTTTTTTAAATAGCCATAATGTTAATCCAGCTTTTTTTCCAAGTTATGTATTCAAGTTCTTGTTCTCCTAAAATTGGGTCATTTCACATTGAAACACAGATTCTCATATGATCACCAAAGTTAAACAATGTTGAGCCTGGTCAGTACCTAGATGAGTGACCGCATGTGAATATCAGGTGCTGTAAGCTTGGATGTGAATGTGGTGTAATGGATAACAGCTTGGAATAGGAAATCAGAGAGCCAAGTTTCAATTCCAGTTGGGTTTGTTATGTTCACTTACGCACAAATAACCATAGGAAAGGTGCAAATCCACCTATTCTCTCCCAACTATGGGTTAATTAGTAGAACTTGCATAAGTAAATCATTATTAACTCCAAAAATGCTTACACTGTAAAAATATTTTATGACTTTAATTAACCTTCAAAAGGTTGATAAGCCCCAAAAAACAAATCAATCAATCATTCCAAAAATGGTTAGAGTGCTGATCTTGCAAACAATTTATCCTTTATCAATATTCAAGAAATTTAGCTTTTTATCAAATTGTGCCCCTTATTATTATTATTATTTAGAAGAAGTCTTTAAACTTCTACCAGTAAGTAGGAATTTAGATCTTTGTTGATCATTATATATGCTTAAGATCTCTCCCAGTTGTACATTTGCTGTGCTAAAATAGAAGATTAAGCAATGTATTTTGGATAAGGCAATACCTATAATAACCTTTTTGGATCTACCTTGGTTTTTACTTTTTAATTTTTCATATTAGATTAGTAGAATCATGATGACAGTTAACTGCATTAGTTCAAAAATTATTTAGAAATAAATATATATATATTTAAACTAGAGGATGAAGACAGCTTGTTCAAAACCACACTTATAAATTGTCCACATTGTGTTAGTTGAAGATTAAACAAAAATATAAGAGTACAGATGACATTTAAAAAAAAAAGTTTTCCTTATGAAACACATGTCACTTTCTTTTAATATTAATTAGAAAACTAACTTCATCTTGAACGAGATGCACGTAAATGTACATAATTACTCATAAGTAAAATTTCATATTTATTACGTTTAATTTTTATTTTATCTTATTTTTTTTATGTAATGTTTGCATGCTTATCCTTTAGTTGTGAGTAAAAATATGATAGATCAACTATAAAAGAAAAAAAAAATGTTTCGTTCCTTCCAGAAGCAGTTTTTTAATCATCCCGTTTCGCTCTTTCGCTTTAACCTCCTTTCACCTCAGGTCACGTGATCATCACTTCGAAAAATATGGCGGACATCGAAGCAGGTAGGGTCGCGCGAATAACTGTTTGTTATTATTTTTTCTCCCCCTCTATTCACTTATATTCTTTTTTAAATCAAAGTATTGACTCTTGTCAACATTGGTCTCTAAGTATTTACAAATATTATTAAAAACTTAGAAGAAAAAATGACATTCCTTTATTTTTATTTTCAATCTCTCGCAGCCGGAAAAGTAGGTATTCATTTTTATACAAGAAAGAAAGTCCCTTCCGTTTTCTATCTCTCTCTCTCTCTCTCTCTTCTTTCTTTTTTTTTTTTTTTCTTTTATTGCTCTTTAAGTAAAAACTTTATTTTATTAGTTTCATTATTAATTTTCCTAAAGTAGTCAATTGGTCAGAAATTGCTGAATTTTTATACTCGGTAGATAAAATTAAACTAATTGATTTCTATTATTATTACTTCTTTAATACCGGTGAAACAAAGGAAAAAAAAAAAACAACGTTTTTATGATTTTTTTTATTATTTATTTGTAAATGCTTAGCTTAGGTATCTCTGTTTTTGTTATTTTTTTTTTCTTGTAATTATATTCGTTTTTGTTTAAAAAATCTTAATTTTTATTGTATTCTTTTTAAATCTGTAAAAGTCACTAATATTTGTTTACTGCTACACATGTATTTTACTAGAGTGTTTTTGGCATTTTTTTAAAATTTATTTTTTTTAGTTCAATCGACACGTATATATTTATCTTACAACTGAAAACTAGTTTATGCTGCGACAAAACCGCGCATTTTAGTAATATTTGCAATGTACATGTGTTTTTCTTCAATCTCTGCATTTTTAGACATTGATAGCTCTATTTATCGCTTGCTACATGTGTACTAATTTTATGGTCGGCGAAGAGTCGCTTATTGTATGTTACGGAAGACAAATTGAGCTATAATTTTATCAAACTCGTTCTTGGGTAAAAAAAAAAACAAACGTTTTGATCTATAGTTCAGCCGGCGTGACAATAACGCAGACTATTTGATTAACTCAGGTCAAGTATACAAATAAGCTAATATTTGAACTGATTGATATTAAAAATGAAAAAAATAATCTTTTTTTGACGGCGCCAAGAATCATTTTTTAATTTCATATTGCTTACAACTTTTTACAAAAAAAAAATCGTATATTCAAAAATTACAACTATGAGAATTGCGTTATTTTAAACTTTTAATAATTTTTATTATCTTGATGTTTTTCAATCATTGTCATTAAAAAAAATGTCAATTTACAGATAGACAAGAATGATAATTATTTTTTTTTTTTAATTTGATTTGAACTACTAGCAGTATGTTTTCGTTTGGCTTTAGTGTAACTGTAAAGGGAAAGGTCTCTGTATTCCAAAGATATGGGTTCACCTATTGGAAAAACAAAACAATCCTTGTAAGTAAACGTGTGTAGGTGGTTGAGATTATTTCTTCAAATTTTTATCCCCCTTCCTTACTAAAGTCAGGTGGATATCTTTTTTTTTTTTCCCCCTTCGTTTCGGAATTTGATGCTTGGCGAATCGCCCTCTTGAGCTATTAATTATAAGGAAGGAGAGTTCTGGTCAGATTCGCTCTTATCCACATTTGACAAACTGATCGGGAAGAAGTAAATTTTCTCAATAAAAAATAGTGTATAAATAAACTATTGTAAGGAAATAGAATATGTAATTTTTAAAATCATTTTTCTTATTTATACTTTAGTAATTACACTTTTACAGTTTATGAATTCTCTGAGAATTTTATTCAAAGCGATTTTTACACAATTTTCCTTTATAATGAGATCTTCAATAAGCGGCAAGCCCAACTCTTTATATCGAAAGTGCTTTTTTATTTAAGATGGGGGAAAAGTATAGCATTTTAACAATAACCCGGATATAAGAGACTTCGTCTCCGGTCCCGAAAACTCTCTTATATCCGGGTTACACTGTATTTGTAGAAGTTAGCATTGGATGTCTATAATAATCCTGTTAGTGTTATGGAAAAGGTTAAGGATTGCAATATTTTGCTCTTGTGATTTGACAATGTTGAATTTTTAAGTTGCTCAGGGGTTAAACGTTTCTATTGTGGACACCTTTTCACTTGTTAGTTCTTAAAAAATTGACAGTCGAATAAACTTTTAGCACCTTTTTTTTCTTTTTTCTTTAACTTCTTACCATTCTGTTTTTAGCATGAAATAATTTCCCTTCGTACATTTTTATTTTAAACATCGAGGAGACAGGTAATTAATTAGTATAACTTTCATTTTTATATTCTGTTTCAATAGACAATTTTTTTTCTGTCAGTACGTAAATATAATACATAGCTAAAAAAATTGATATGAGAGAAAAAGAATAATTTAAAAATTAAATTCAAATTTTCTTATTCCCTGGGTAACGATCACGAAATAATCTAAATTTCAAATGGAGTAGGGATAAAAGTTCGAAAAAACAATATACTGGTTGGTCCAATAATTTAACGATCTTTTTGACTGATGCTCTCTGTTTTTATTTAAAATGCTACAGCCAAAAGACAGTAAAAATAGAAGGTAAAGGAAATAGTGGGAGTAAGGAGACAAAACTATGAAAAGAAATAGCAACGATATTCTACACGTGTACAAACAAAGAAACAATCAACTTAAACACTAATAAAAAGCACCATAATTTGCTTTTCTTTTTTAACTTACAATAAAAATAACAAAAATGAGAATCTGCAAACAATTGGTGATACCTCCTGATGAGTGGATCAAATGATTGATTACAAAAAGGTTCAACTAGTTGGGGTGCTGAATATAACATCAATCAGCTAAGTGTCACATTTCATATCTGTATTAGCTATTATTTAATTTATTCAGTTTTCTTTTATAAATTCTGTCTTATTGATCAAAGAGGTTTTCATGCTTGACTGAGATGGACTAAATTTAAATCTTTACTTTTCTGTTAGCGGATGATCCTTTCTGTTTTTTTTTGGGGGGGGGGTTCACGTTGTAGTTCAATTTTGTCATTAAAAATCTAGTTTATTATTATCACCAAGAAACAAATTTAACTTGCTGTCAAAATATTTCTGTGTTTATTTCGCAATAAGAATTTTTTTTTTTATTACAAAAAAATGGATGTGATTTTTGTGTATTAAGAAAACACAAAAATTGTTGGGCTTAATTCACATTTTGTTTATATTGTAGTGAAGCAATCAAGAAGATGGGCAAGTTTTATTTTGAAATGGAAATGTAATGGTGCAATAGTGGAATTGTTTGAACAGCTTTGCAAATGTTTAATTATCTTCATTTGTATTTAGGGCTGATAATAATTTGTGACTGCTTATTATTAAAGTTTATGCTGTTAGAATATGAGGCCAGGTAAGCACTCAGCTTTAAGTAGAAATATGAAACCTAATAGGATTTTTTGCACTTTAACTAAAGTTTGTTTTTTTTAATCTGTCCCCTAAGAGAAAAAAATCACCACCGATTAAGAAATCATTGATGTGTTAGAAAATTTACTTTTTGTTTCATTGAGTACATAATTTTTAAAATATACTTTATTTATGATCAGTAATTAATATATTTTGTAAATTTTAAATATTTTGGGTTGTAAAATACTTGGCCCACATTTTTCCTTAAAGTTCAGATCAACATTTGGTATTTTTAATTATCTTCATTTTTTTTTTTTTTTTTTGTTTGTTTGTTTATTCATCTTGCAATTTTTTTTTTACAATGATGTTTACCCTGTACAAAGCCCAAAAGCCACTCAAGGTAGAGGGTTACAGAGTAATAGGTACAGTTTATGGGATAAATAAAGGTTGACACTAGACTTGAACAGGTTAAAATTGTAGTGATCAAAGAAGCATAAGGTTGGGAGTCAGTTCTACAAAGCAGGATTAATGAAATATATTCAATGCCTGCTTAATTAAAAGTAGATATAAAACATTGAAAATGGTATATGTTATATCTTTTATAGTTTTTATTTCGTGTGTGCAGTAACAAACTTATATATAAAGTTTGTTACTGCACAAATGAAATATATATAATATATATACTTGGCATGTAATCCTTCTTAAGAGGCACATTTTTATTGGTAAAGATAAATGTAATTAATTTAGAATTAGAGAGAAATTTGTCAGCCACAAAATCTTTTGTATTTGGTCAAAAGGACAATTTTTTTTTTTTTTTTAAGAAATTAAAAACTCCTGCATCTTGTATTGTCTCTGAACAGATTTTTTTAAAAAGTTATATTTAAAGATTAACAGGTATGAGAAAAATTACCTTTAATTTCTTCATCTAAATTTCATAGGCACTTTTTAACATTTTATAATATTTTGATTACATAGAAAATTTTTTTTATCTATACACATTTTTGTTCTCAACACTGTTGTTTTATAAAAGGTGAAGTTTTTATTTTATCAATTTTATTCCTTTGTATAGGAAGTATAATTAATGTGGTTGATGACACTTTTTTCTTAAAACATGATTCTTCAATTTCCTTGGAGAGTTTGTTAATATTTAATGAAATCAGCATAATTTTAATTTCAGTTTAAATTACCTTTTTGGTTGAGTTATTTTTCCACATTTTCATATAACTAAAATTAGAGTACCTACATGCATCTACTTTTGATTTTCATAAATTTATTGACAACAATTATTTTTTTTTTTTTTTTAATATCAGATGATGTTATTTTAGTTTACTTTTTTCTTTTTTTTGTTTTTTTTATAAAAAACTTTAAACTCTGATACCACAGAGATTTAAAAAAGAAAACTAAAAAACCTGAAGAGGATTTTAAACTTACCACATCACATAACATATCAAAAAAAAAAAAAAAAAAAAATACTCTAAGCAAGGTTTTTATTGCTCCGGTTAGTTTAGTACGTTTCTTGAAAAATAATCCATTCAGTAACTGTAATTTGTTACAATTGGTTTTACTCAACATAGGTTACTCTTTTTTTTTTCTAAGGTTCATTTAATTTTTCAAGAGATAAACAAAAATAATTATCGTCATTATTTTCGATATATCTTCTCTTTTCGAATTGAAATTACCTTTTCTTAGATTT